CACGGAGGTCGGCCATCAACTTCTGGTGACGCTCGTTGCCACCTTGACAAAAAATCATCAACATCCAAAAGAACAACTCCTGCCACCTGCAGCTTCGGGCCAGTGTTGATCTCCTGATCATTCGGTGGCAGGTAGTACAAGCAAGGATCGAAGACGCTCTCTTGGTACCCGAGCTCGGTGAGGTGTCGGCGAACTGTTTTCCGCCAGACTGCAGGTGCATTGACCAAGCCGTAAACGGCAGTGAGGACTCGAATGAGTGCAGTCTTCTCATAGCCAGGGATGCCTGTCGGTGGCATGGAGGCATACAGTGGTCCCTCAGCGCGCTCATGTGGGTCGCTCTGGCCGAAGGCGCTGGAGACGTCCATGATGTAGAGCTCAAACTGCATCGAGCTGATGATTTGCAAGCAAAGCATGACCGTGGTAGAGGATGGAGTAGGTGCAAAGCGCTCCTGGGTCATGGCATCAGGATCCTTATGTCCGAGCAGGATCCACGTCCTTTTGCCTTCCAGTCTTCGCTCACTTCGCCGGCCTTCTTGGTGATGATGAAGCGACTCGGCATGATCCGGTGAGGGAGGTCCTTCCGGATTCTGGCCAGCTCACGCTCATCGATGATGATCTGGATGGCATTCGAGTTCACCAAATTGGTGATTTCCAGAGTTTTGGCCTTGCTGAACTGCTGAACATCTCCTTTTCAATGTTGTTCAGCTTGCGTTCATCGAGCTCTTTGCCGCTCTGCTTGGTGAGGTAGGCCAATGAGAACTCTGGCTCTCTGAGGGCATACATCATGTCCTTGTGCTCCAGCTTGTGGAAGACTCGAAGATCGCGGCTAGCCACAGGGAACTTCCGCTTGTCGCCCCACTCTGTGACATCATCAGCACGCCACATTCCAAAGATCCGGCTGCGGTTGGCGACACGTCCATCTGCGGAGGGTGCTTGGAAGCTTTTGGACATCTTGACGTCAGTGAGCCTTGCATCTTCTTCTGGAAAGTGTGGCTCACTCAGTCGGGCCTTCTTGACTGGCTGACTCCCTGGCTGAGGAAGTAGTGCTTCATATGGTTTGTCAGGGTCAGGATTGCCAGGCTTGGGCCGGTAGATCAAGAGGGCTCGAGGTGAGCAAATCCAAGCCCTGCTTCTTCAGCTCTGCAAATGCAGCTTTCTTCTGAGTGAGAAAGCTCGTCAGGGTCTGGCCACGTTCTCGTCGACCCTTGAAGATCGCGTCGTCGAACGCGGATTCAGGTCTCGCAGGTACTCGTGGGCGTCCTCGATGATGCCGATGATGGTCTTGTGGCCATTCTCTGCGGTGATCTCATCCACCGTCAAATGTGCAACCAACGCTGACAGCTTTGAACCAAGTGGGATGCTATCAATGATTCTTTTGCCGATGAGGTTGTGTGGTAGGCGTGCTTCCGCCTCAACCAACCAAAGTTTCATGTTCCTGATGTACTCCTTGTAGTTCTTCTCAGGGAGATGACCTCCCCAAGATGGTGCAGGATCTACCTTGTAGTCCACGAACTTCCGGTCTCGTGCATTGGTGGTGGAGCCGGCAGGCGTTGGAGGCCTAACCAAAGTGGCTGCCGCCGTTGCTGCCGCTGCCCATGGATCCTCATGGTCATGCCCTTCTCCATAATCACCGGGTTCATGTACGGGTGAAGGTCGTTGATGATCAGGTCGCTGAGGACTTGCCGCCGGTGACCTCGGAGGGGCTACCATCGAGGGAGCCGGTGATGTAGTGGTGGCTCCAATGCCACCTCTCCAAAATCGATGTAGCCGTTCGGCTGACATCCACCAATCCCGTCAGGGACAATCCCAGTTTGAACTGGTACTTGAAGGCGTCCAGGATGTAGAACCTGGTAGCCGGGGGGTCGCGACCAAGAAGGACAGGCGAAGCTGCCGCAGGCCGCTTACTCAAGCCGCGGCCGCCGCCAGTGAAAACCAGCGTAGCGCTCTTCAATCTCAAAGCTCACACCCAAAGGAAAACCAAGGCCTTCTCGGCCGTTCGAAGAGAACCTCCAGCGCAGGAGGGGACACGACGAAGCCCTCGAGGAAGTCGAGGTCGTCGAGGTCGTTGGACAGATCTGGTCCGGGGCGTCCCCCGGCCAAGGATGTAGTCCACCTCCTGCGGAGCCCAGGTCGTCACCCGGGCTCCGCTACCACTGACAAACAGCGGAAAGCGCAGCTGCAATGGCGCGCACTGATGACGCTCCTTTTCAGGAGAGGCTCAAGGGGCCCCGTAGTTTGGGCCAGTGCGGCGAGGGAGGACCAAGGTCTGATGCTGATCTGCTCTCTCCCTGTTCTAGAGTCTAGATCAACAGAAATTGTGATTGACTTAGCCTGCCGGCCACAAAATGATGTAGGAAACTTGGGCTGCCCCGCAGTTTTGCATCTCCATCGCCCCTGCTCGTACTGGCTCCTTGCTCCTCAAGAGCTGCATACGGCTGTGCAAACCACAAGTTCTTCCCAAAGAAAGTTGCCCGCTAGGTGCCGCAGGCTAGCAGAACAATGCTGAACATAGCTGACCCGTATCGAGTTGTTTCCAAAGGTTCTTGACTTGGACATCTGGCACTCCATTGAGGATCTTTCCCAAAAGCGCACCTGAGCTCGTCGTTCTGGAGTGTCGAGTACACCACCCAAAACTCCTCCACTCGGTAGAAAGGCTGCCGGGAATGCCAACGAAATGCAATGACTAGCTCAAAAACAGACCATCAAACCAATGTTTAATTTCCTCAAACAGTTGAAGGCCTTCACCAAAAAAGCGGAATCGTTGAAGCTCTTTCCAGGTTTTGACGTACAGTCCCGTCCTGTGACGTAAAGTTCGCGCTCGCCACCTGCCATTCGTAAACCTCTCTGGTGGACAAAGGCTTCGCATCAAAGAAGCCAACCACTCCTCGGGCCTGACCATCAAGAAGCATTGGTAGCAAGGACGCTATGCTCGGTGGAGACCATTGCTAGTAGGTTGGAGACCATCGCTACTAGTAACAAGAAGCTCCTAGTAATATATAAAATATGTTATCTTCTCTTCTTGAAAGTATGTCGAATGAGTTCACAATGTGCCATGATGTTCCATCGCATATCTGATGTCAACTGTGACCAGGGTAATGACATGTCATGACATTCTCTGTTTGCTGGTCCCTTGGTAGGTGAGCCAAGAGCACCAAACCACTCCACTCCGTCTAGACCAGAAACCAATCGGAGTCGCAACGGAGATCCTTTGAGCTAAGCGGAGTAAGCACTCGCCGAGCCTGGTATTTCTTCCACTCGCCGAGCCTTGGTAGCGCCACCGTTTCCCCATTGACGGTGGTAGCATTGGTGGAGCTTCAGCATGGAGGTGTCGAGGTGGCCAAAACGGAGGTGTCTAGGCTAGTCAGGTGTCTAAGTGTCTGGCACGCGCATCTCACTAGGGGCAGAGTCCCATTGAGTCTCATTCCTGGCAAAGTGGTCCAAAACTCAGTGGAGTTCGGGACTGTATCTGGGGGAAATGCACAGGAGCTTGCAAAAGTGCCGGCGATGCTCGGCTGCCATGAGAACGTTAAAGACATCCACTGGTCGAGCATTGGGAATGTCAAACCTTGGACATTTCACAGGCAACCTCAATCAGTAGTCACGGGCCATGGGTATGCTGCGGGGTATGCAAGTTAGCTTGAAATGATGCTCTTGCAGTCATCCCAGCACCGCATCCTGTGATACTGCGGAAACAATCAAAATATCTCTCCCGTACTTGGAATGAAAGCAATTATCTGAGGCAGTTGCTCCAGAAAGGTCAATGGCACCATGTCGCCAGCGCAGCTCTTGTCGTCCTTTCAAACAAGGGCATACGGGACTAACATATGCAAAATATTGCAAAATAGAACACACGAACGCCTCCATGCTCGCTGTTACGTCGAACACGTCACTGCCCGTCACTACTCGAAACTAAAAAGGCACGAAACGATCATGCTACAGGAGACATGTTAGTGTTAGTGTTGATCGTGATCCTCAACTCCTAGAAGTGCGCTTCTTCTCAGATTCTGGTTGACTTGGTGAAGCTTGACGTCAGCAGGAGACAGCCCAACAAGTAGAGGTGCAACACTGCTAGAATCTGCTGCAAATCTGTGTCTGGAGGATTCTGGAGGAGCCTTTGAGAGGCGGAAGACGATGCCATCTGTCTCCTTCTCAGAAAGCCACGTAGTATCTTTGTTTCCATCTATATATACAATTGCTGAAGCGATGTGAAAGCTGCAATTGAGAAGGCCAAAAGAAAGACTGCCACTCTCCCACACCTTGGGATCCTCAAGATTAGACTTCTGGGCATAGAAGTTCAACAAGCGATCGCCTCGGGCCCGGATTTCTGGTCGAGACGGTTGAGAAGGTGCCATTCGAATTGGTCAAGCACAAGTACTTCTGTGTAGTCTGTGTAGTGTAGTTTCATGAGAAATGTGTCCCTTGCAGTTATTCAAGAAGGTTCCTCTTCAGAATTCAGTACGCCGGAGGCTAGGAGTCTTGCGGGCTAGCTCCAGCAGTGCCTGACAATCCAAGAAGCACCACACAACATTGAAAAGATAAATCAGCCCTGTGGCTGAAGAAAACGAGGAAAGTTAAACACCAACTTGTTGTATCGATTCTTGAGTCCATGTTTGAAGTTTGGATTTGCTAGATGTGATCAAAGTGAAGTGTCTGAGTTGCACCTTGCGCTGCGGCATGGCGAAAGCCGAAGAAGCAAGAAAGTAATAAATATATATATATATAGATAGAGACACAGTGTATATACAGTTTACAGTATACATATATACTGCAATAAAACAATGTGCTTGTACGCTGCTGCTCATTCAAGAGAACAGGTCGACATTTGCACGAAGTTTAAACGTGTCAAAGTCAACTTTATTCTCAGGTAATTGACAATGCAAACTTGACTCAGCCTTGGCATGCCTCTTGGTCCATCAAGCTGCATGTGTTCTTTCTCTGATATTTGAAAGCGTGCAAAGTGGGCATGAGTCCGGCCTATCAAGCATACGAAGCACCTTGATCGCTGTTTCTCGATTGCCAAATGAGCCAAATGCTTTGCAATTCACCTATTTGGTGAACTGAGCGGGTCAGTCTTTCGAAGATGCCAGGAGCCAAATGGAGCTAGTACAGTACCTGCAGAAGGAGCTGTCGAAAATCTTGGCATGTGACCGAGGCTGAAGGACAGGTCCAGGTGCACCGATGCTTGTTGGGTGTAAGGGCACTGGTTTTATCCCAGCTGAAGTCTGTGCACCCGTTTCATCCCATATTTGGGAACATTCTCAACAAACATGTGCTTCGCTGGCCTCAACGCACTCCGAAGCCGAAGAAGCCCGAACAGCCTGGCTACGAGCTGTGTTCTCGTGATGGAGATATCCCAGCAATGAATATTGTTCCTTTTTCACCAAACCCTGGCCGCTGATGACCATGGAGTCTGGGGTCTTGGTTGACGGTCGCGCCACAACTCGTTTGCAGAAGGCTCATGCGTCATCGAGTCACATCTGCAGAGACTGGACTCTGAGCAAGAGCCACCCGACATTCGAAGCACACTGCTGTTGGTACAACGTTCACTATTTGTTCTCCAGCACCGTGGACGAGTAAGCCTCTAACAGCCTTCGTTGCATCACCAAATGATGGCATTACTTGCATGTGGCCACCGATGAAGCTGTATGAACAAATATGCACTCATCCACGGCATGATCTCAAGAAGTTTGATTTTAAACAATGATGTCGATTGGATCCAGCCCACCTTTCCCTCTCCCTTTTTGCTTTTATATACTTGTAGATGTCAAGCCTGCCGCCGCACATGATGCCTGACAGGGAATACGCCGTATCGGAGGCAATGACTTTGGTAGCAGCGTTCTACAGCGCGTCATCCAAATGATTCCTTTATGTTGTGGATGCAAACCATTGGGCCTCTTCAGCAAGCAGGAATTTTAGGCGCTGCTCTAGCATACCTGGACTTCTTGGCAGGCCAAATGAGTCTCGCCAGAAAGAACTTCTTGGCAGCAATTCTTTCAGGGCGTTTTTGCATTAAGGCCAAGGTGAATACCAAAAAATACTCCGGAAAACAACCGAGCCGGCGATGCCATCGGTCTCTTTGGCGGCTGCCGCATCCAAAAGAGCCTTGGCATGGCCACTGTGCAGCCTGCATTCTATCTGGACAAACCCTGCCTTTCGTGGCATGAAGCCTTCTTGGACTAGAGATCCTTAGATGGTGGGCGAGAACCCGGTCTTCGAGAGCAATGTTGTGGGTGATGGCCCAACAGTTCGACAACAATTTTCACACGTCTATGGCTTGCATCGGCTTGAACAACTTGTTCCCAAAGAAGAAAACGACCGTTGACTTGCAGTTGCTTCGTTATTGCTCTCTCCTTTGGTGCCAAGCATCTGATCTGCTGTTGTAGCCCCCTCTCAAGTAAAGTCAAGAGCTTGCCCTGCGAGTATGAACATGATGAAAAAATGTTGGGAGCTTGAGCTTACTGCTTCATACTGCACCTACAAATGGTGCCCGAGCTTCATGTGCCTTGGCCTCCGGTGTAGCATGCTGCATGGTAGAGGCAACAAGGTCCTCATGAGCATTGCAATTGCTCGATCAGAAAATATCAAAAGGCACAACGTTTTTATTATACAGTTTGGATTCGAAGCAGGCCAAAACTATTGAGGTAATCGTGCTACACGGATGGCAATGGTCTGGGTGGCCGTTCCAAGCACAGCTGCTTGCGTTCGCTGATGCAGGTGCATTCCTCATTGCCTGTGAGGAACATCATGTGAGGCAACAACGCTGCATCAGCACTTTCTATCGTCCAAACAGTGAGGAAAGGGTTCCACTTACACTTCAGAAACTTACCACATTCGAACCAGACTCTCCAGCGTTTTTTCCACGATGACAGAATCTCATTCAGACATAGTAGTGTTCTTTTGATTCAATTCCCTGTGCTGGGCGTCCAAGCTTTCGAGCGCCGTCTCTAGTACTATCTGGACCTGCGGCAGTCCAAACGCCAGACAGAATTGTTCTGGGTCATGAGTGGGTGTTGTAGGGCACGGACCACCCTGTGGCAAGAAAGTACATCACTCCGTCAAAACTGCACAAAATGCCAGCCGGCTTGATGCCCCAAAGGAAGAAACATGAAACTGCACGCACACACACACTCTGATATTCTAATATTGGGTTTGCAGTTAACTCAGTTCCCAGGTCGAATAAAGGTGATGGAACAGAAAGGCGAAGAGTCCAAGCACTTGTAGGTGTTTTAACAAAGAAGTTTCTCTCATCTGCGGAAGGCTGCGGTGACAAGCTGCAGAAACGCCGTAGGAAAAGGGCTTAGGGAAAGTATCATGAACAACCATGCAAGCAAAAAAACAGGAATTGGACAGCGTGGTCAACAGTTACGTCGCAGGTGCAGGAAACTGGCCAAGTTTCCCTTCCCACTCTTATCCACAGCTTCGTTGCGTGTGATAGGATAAGAGTGTCACACGCCCCTGCTTGAAAACTTTCCGAGCGGTAGCAACTCTTAGGTACAGAGTGGGACACACACAGAGCGCCGATATCAGCGCTCTGGAGGAACTTACTAGCCACCTAAAAGCCTTAGAAAGAAAGAAAAAGAAAAGACAGAAAGGAAAACGCAAGGGCAAGAGAGAAAAATAGGTGTAGTTACGAGGCCCACCAGTTACGAAACCTGCTAGTTACTGAATACTTAGCCGCATGAAATAAATGCACTAGTTAGCGAGCGGGACATTAGTCTTAAACCGCTCGGGTAGCTAGAACTAGGACAGGAGAAGCAGAAGGAAAGGCACCGACACACAAGTGCGTCGAGTACCATTTCCTTCTGTTACCCTAGATAGCAGGTGGGCTAACAGCACGAATTCGGTTGCAAGGTGGGGAGGGTTGCGTCGAAGTGTGTGTGTGTGCCCCTTGTAGTCACGCGGATTCTTTTGAATTGTTTTAGCAGGGGGCAGAGGGATCTCCAGTTGTGGCCTCTGCCAACGAAGCTCCACACTGGATGATCAGGAAAACGCACCTGGGCGCATTGTAAGCCGCAGCTGGCGGCCGCTCGTCGCTCCGTGGTTTTGGAACTTTGGCCTTTAACTAAAGGCGCTCAGGCCCCCCACCTGGTTTTTCAGGATTTGGTTTTCTTAGGCTGGCGTGTGGCATGGGGCATTCAGTTCAGTACACCCAATCGTAAGTGTGTCTGGCTTCACGCCAGCCCGGGATGAGCCCGCAGAGTGCCTCCCGTGGACCCGTCGAAGGGGGGTTTGTCTTGTCCCTGCGCCCGGGACCAGAGCAGCTCGCAGCGAGCGTAGGTGGCCTAGGCCAAGAGAACTCAGATTTTTGTCTTACGTCTTGAATTCCAAGTTGGCTCATGCCTTTACGTGACCGCAGCGGTCTAAGCAGCCAGGCACAGCGTACGTGGCCGCAGCTCATTGGAGTTCCCCTCCCCTCCTCTCTCCCCTTTTTTGTCATCTTGGGGCGTTCCTGAATGTAATACTCAGGTTCACCCCTCTCTCTCACTGGTGTGTCCCTGGACGCTTGTGCATAGCTGGGAACACCTGTCCTCTTCCTCTCTTTTCCCTCTCTCTCTTTTCTCCTTCCTTTCCTTCCCTCCTTCTTGTTTGGGTGTCCCTGGACGCTTTCGTCATAGCTGGGAACCCTTCTCCTCTCTTCTTTTGGTGTGTCCTTGGATGCTTGTGTCGTAGCTGGGAACACCTTCTTGCCCTTTCCGTTCTTCTCTTTCTTTTTCTCTTCTCTCCCTGCCCCTCCCTCCTGTCGGGACCTTAGAGTGTGTGTGTGTGTGCCCCTTGTAGTCACAGGGATTCTTTTGAATTGTTTTAGCAGGGGGCAGAGGGATCTCCAGTTGTGGCCTCTGCCGACGAAGCTCCACACTGGATGATCAGGAAAACGTACCTGCTTGGCGCACCTGGGCGCATTGTAAGCCGCAGCTGGTGGCCATTCTTCTTCCTTTTGTCAAGCGCTAATGCAGCTGCAGTCATGCACGGCACGTCCTCATCCTGTCGGGTCGTCGCTCCGTGGTTTTGGAACTTTGGCCTTTAACTAAAGGCGCTCAGGCCCCCTCACCTGGTTTTTCAGGATTTGGTTTTCTTAGGCTGGCGTGTGGCGTGGGGCATTCAGCTCAGTACACCCAATCATGACCGTAAGCCCGGCGGCGTGGAAGTTCAGTCGCAATTCCATAGGCCCAACGGCTTAGGGTTTTTGGGAATACAGTGGTGAAACGAAAATCCGTTAAGAGAATCCAACGTGCGCAGAAAACCGCTGAATCAGTTTAACGGTAATCCGGAGTGAAGACAGCGCCCCAGCGACGGGGATCACACCCTGCACCCAAGTGGGACGGCAGAGCGGCACACACTCTGATATTGGGTTTGCAGTTAACTCAGTTCCCAGGTCGAAAAAAGGTGATGGAACAGAAAGGCGAAGAGTCCAAGCACTTGTAGGTGTTTTAACAAAGAAGTTTCTCTCATCTGCGGAAGGCTGCGGTGACAAGCTGCAGAAACGCCGTAGGAAAAGGGCTTAGGGAAAGTATCATGAACAACCATGCAAGCAAAAAAACAGGAATTGGACAGCGTGGTCAACAGTTACGTCGCAGGTGCAGGAAACTGGCCAAGTTTCCCTTCCCACTCTTATCCACAGCTTCGTTGCGTGTGATAGGATAAGAGTGTCACACGCCCCTGCTTGAAAACTTTCCGAGCGGTAGAAACTCTTAGATACAGAGTGGGACACACGCACACCAAAGACCCCAGAGAACCACCAACGGTTGGGCACGAGTCTATCTGTTTTGCTCAACGGTAATATCGGAAGTTCACCAACAAGCGTTGTGCCCTTGCTTTGCCAAACAATGCTGCTTTGAAAAGCGTGAGCCTTTTCAATTCGCCATGCGAGCATACCCCAACACGGCAATACGCCTGCATAGCACATGTGCATAATGTGTTACATATTTTCAAGCATGACAACGCCGCATAACGCCGCGAGCAGCAAGAAACAGGCAACCTGTCGCGAACCAGCAAGTCAGAACGACAGCACGACCCAACTTCAGGATCTCAACGTTAGCGTGACCCATGCCAGCGTGCAAGCATGACAAGATGTCAGCTTGACGGCCTGACAACACGTCGGCGTGACACCACACCAGCATACCATGTCAGCATTTCTACCTGTCCGCGTGCTCAGCATTAAACACAATACACCAACACGACAGCGCGTCAGCATATAGCCGTGGCAACACCCCAGCGTGTCAGAGAGACACAGCATATCTGCAGAGTGCTCCGGAACTAGCTCCGGAAATTCCACCAGAACCTGCTCCGGAACCTCCGACGGTCACATCGGCAGTTGTCCGCAATGGAGGGGGCCATTTGGTTTCCGCTGTGAGATAGATACCGTCCAACGTCGAGTTTTGAATGTCAACAAAGCAGCACGGGAATGTCTTGGGGCAATCATTGGGAACCCAACCATGCGCATCCCGCTCCCTTCTGTCGCGAAAGTCCCTGAGACGAACTCTGGTCTCCTGCCATACTGGTAGTACTCAAAACAAACTACAGAAAGTAGCGCCTTCTCCGAAACCTTCTCCCTTAAAAAAGAAAACAGCAAACCTAATAGCTCTGATGATCTCTGAAAAAAGGCCTGGCCGCTATGAGCCCAAAACTCGTTGCCTCGTCGTCGAGCATGCCAGACTTCATGGCATCCCAAATCCTGTCAATAGGGATAGATTAAAATATATGATGCGGTGGCCTCCAACCTACTTGCGATGGCCTCCAACCTAAGAGCAAACTTTGCTCTATATGCTTGGACACACTCTACTACCTCCATATCTTCTGCGAGCATGCTGCAGAATGCTGTATGCAGTCCTCTCCATCACCTCTTTGAAGAAAGCTACAAGCACCTCGGAGTCTCTTTGGACTTTGGAGTCTCTTGCTGCTTTTGTCTCTCTCTCTCTCTCTCTTCTCTGGTCTGGTCTGGTCTGGTCTGGTCTGGTCTGTTCTGGTCTGGTCTGGTCTGGTCTGTTCTGTTCCGTTCTGTTCTGTTCTGTTCTGTCTCTCTCTCTCTCTCCCTCCCTCCCTCTCTCCCTCCCTCCCTCTCTCCCTCCCTCCCTCTCTCCCTCTTCAAAAGTTTCAAATCACTATCATACTCTCTACTGTCTACTGTAGTTTGAATCAGCTTTCTCCATACCTCCATAAAGTCCACAATTGATCGGAAGAATTCGCTTTCTTCCCCTCTTGCCTTCACCTCAAAGTCGCTATCGTTGCTTTCTCGGTCATGGGAAAGCTCTACCAAACTCCTGATGTTCTGATGTGTCCATCTATGTTTCAGGGAAATGTGCATTCCGTTGATCAAAACTGGCAAGTGCCACCGCACTCCCCTGAAACTATCCATCAAAATCATCAAAAGGCTTGCTCCTGAAAATCTCCAGGCGGGCTTCTAAGACAGCCTGCAATGGACTGGCCATGCAGGCAGGCTGACTCTCAAGCTATCTCAAGTTGACAAGCAGGCAATATCAACGAAGAACCGAGCCCTCGCTATTGTGAGAATCCGCACTCGGTACAGTCCAGCATGTTCATCAGTGCCTGGACAGAAAGGGCCTGGTTCTGGTGGGTCAGCTGATTCCTGCGTAAAGCAGCTGAATGAGATCGGCATATATATTTTGTCATGTGCTGAAAAATGTGCTTTTCTCCCTGCTGAGAGCTGGTACTTTAGCACTTGCCGAACTCGGCGTGCTTGAATCATCATCTGAATTCCTGGCGGGAAATCCATAGCCCAACATGTCATGTCCATTCAATTACTGGGTGACTTGCTTTGCAAGTATGTTAGAGAGTCATGCATGCAGGGCTTACTTGATAGCAGGATGCGCTGATCAACTTTGGGTGATGCGGCATTTATTCTCTCTAAACCAGAGGGGGCAAAAATAAGCATCCTCTGCGCTCCATCGGACCATAATTTCTTGGTGATAGACCATGTTTTTGCAAGTGCACAGAGATGCCTTTCAATGCTGATTTGCGGCGCAACTTTTGGCCTATGCACAGAGTGAGTGAGTATGAGTGAGTCGTCCAGTAAATGATATTGATTGATATTATAGTAATAGACATTTGGTGTCATTAGTTGAGTCAGTGTCCCGCTCGCTGACTCAGTGCATCCTAACACCGCACCTGATGCAATGAGGTAGGTGATCGCAAGGGTGAAAAAGCTCAGCACCGTCAAGACTGCTAGGAATCGTTCCTGCTTCCAGCCTCAAATACTTTCAGAAGGTAAGGTTTTCCCTTTGGCAACTTCTTCATACTTCTTCTGCTTCTAAGAGATTCGGCCCTGCATCTTTTTGAATTTTGCATGCACTCCCGCCAAACGATGCTACAGTACAATGATTGTAGTTCGCCTAAAGTGTCTTCTAGGAGTAGTAGGATGACCAAAACGACGTACCAAACACAAAACCTCCGCATTTCAATTGCGTGTTCGCGCCGTCAAATGTGTGCAAAAGACTGAGACTGCTACTGAACCACTCGTGAGCCGGTCGGAAAGTCCTCGGATTCCGAATTTAAAGGCCACATAATTGGACTTTGTGACACGCTGAGACCCAAAGGCACAACCCTCAGTGTCCAAAATTCTACAAAAACGAACTTCGGAATAGGGCCCTGATAGAGCTGCTTCGACTAAACCATCACACCGGCAGATTGCTGGTGAGTTTTGTCTGCACCAAAGCTTCACTGGCTCAACTGAGGGTAGCTCTGTGACATGGCAGATTCTCGGTTGTGGCCGGGTGACCAAGCAGCAACTGCCGCAACTGCATTTGATAGGATTGTTTGCTCAGTCTGAGACAGTTTTCTTGCCAATTCTACTCATCTGTCAGTTTCTGCGTCATAAGAGAGCTGCTTATGTCACTTTTGTCAAGATTTGAAAGGCTCAGTGGTGGAAGCACACAAGCAGTTTTGTCCAGGGAGAACATAAACTGCAGGATTGTCTCACTGTGTCAGATCGCGCGGCAAGGACGAATTGTGCCTTCTCTCCAGCTTTGCAACTTCCTAGAGTGGTTGAACCTTGGCTACACTAGCAGTTTGCCGCTGGAAAAAGGTGAAAGTGCAGCATGACAGCGAAGGTAAGTCTAAGTCCTTAATATCGAAAGCTATCCTCTCTCTATCATGAATACTCGGGACTCGGACTGAGCCATGTGCGATCTGGAAGCATTCAACTCTTTGGCCTTCAACAACTGAAAACTCAGAGAAACGTTGCAGATTGGGCCATAAACACCAAATTGAAAGAACATGCGTTTTGTGCATACCCAGGCTGGAGTAGAAAATTCCCCACAAATAGCAGACATGCCTTGACATGACAAAGAGCTAACAAAGGAGCGTGTGAAACGAAAATCGGTGTCCATGCACAAAACGCGTGAGCTATCCTGTGTCCATGCTAGTACAAGTAGCATCCTGTACCTAGAATCTTACTTAAGCTACCTAGCTACCTCTGCCTACCTCTTTTCGGCCTACCCCCAAAAAAATAGTAAATGTATAAATAAATCTGTGAAAGCCTTCATTCGGCTCAACACATTGGCCATGGGCCATCAGTCACCGCCTCATCGGCTTCACCTCCGGTGACTCGGGCTGCTGTGACCTCACCATGCCACATGCCCCGGTGCTCACGCGCCGTGCTCGTGCTCTATCGGTGACTCGTTCAGCTGCAACCAAGAACGTGCAGAGAAAGTCAGTCGTTGTTGAGATTCCGCACCTGAGACTCCTGGTCGCATAATATGAAGACCTCAAATCGTGACGAGCTAGAGGTCACTTTCCAAGAACCAGTCTGCCACACTGAAGACAGGCCAAATACTCAAACACGAGCAGTCTACATCCGGTAAAGCAAAAGCATGGGGCCATTGGCCATTGATCGTGTACCCTATATTGCACCGAGGTCGTGTCCACGATGGATTGAAGTGTGCACCACCGGGCCTGGATAGCTAAAAGACTTGTGTGCAAAAGAACAAATTGAATTCTTGTTTCTAATAGCTTCTTGTTACTAGTAAGGCCAGGAGCCCCTAGTAGCGTCCTTGCATGATTGTACAGGGACAATTAGAGTTTGAAGAACCTGATCTTCCAAGTTTCCAAGATTCATGCCATGGGTGGTGCACAGACACAGGGCTCGTCTGAGCCCCAACACTGCAGGTTGCCACCACAATAGTCACAACTACCCAGTTGAGCTAGGCAAGCAAAGCCAGTCTCCCACCCACCCATTTTTACCCACTTCCCACAAGGTTAATCAAAAAGCCGGAATACAAAGCTCCCAACTCACGAATCTCGACAAGTCCAACCGAAGTGGGCGGGTCAATTCGAAGCAATGACAAACCACCCATTGCACACAGCGACAACACCATCTAGTCATAACATGCTAAGTCAAATGGAAAATGGAAACAGCACTACACAGTTATTGTAGTGGCATTTAATTGCATCCAGTCAGATATAGTCTTCGCACCTTTTCTTACTCCAACTCTGTTGGCGTTCAGTGCCTTCTCACATGATTATGCACTTGTCTCGAGGCTGTGGAGTGCCAAATGTAGAGTCAGAATAGCAAAAGCGGGCAAAGATGTAGTATGGCAATGCTGGGCAGGGCCAGCAATGTCGTTTCATTGCGGGGGGCCGTTTAGAGCTTTTGAGAACAAGAACTAATGAAGCCCACCGAGCACTCGAAAAATGGAACGCAGCCTCACAGAATGCGCATTCGCTCACACTCGCAATGTCAAAGGCGTGTTCACTTTGACGGCCCTAGAGTACTGCTATGAGAAAAGAATTGTGCACACAAGTGCTACTTGTGCTGAAGTTCTATCATCACATTCACAGAACACACCTTCAAGCCACCAAGAGAGTCAAGATCAAATGATCTTGCCCAGCTAGCAAGCTTCCAATATGTCAATATGTGCAACAGCGAAGCGCAATCTTTCTATGTCGTACACAGCGTGTGCGTACTGCTCAATTTGGACACACTTGCGGAGCCCTGGAAGCAGCCTGCACTCTGGCAACCAGGCTTTGGCTTCCAGCAAGACTGTGTCTCATGCAATGCCTGCTGTTATACCCGCGGGCATTGCAAGCAAAATAAAGTTCAATTGTCTGTTGTATAGGAAAGTAGTTTTCGGATTCGTTGCCAATGAGACTGGTGACGTGTCCTGGAAATGGACACGAGAAGACTGACAGAGCCTGCAGGCTATTCCATGTACATCGAGTCACCTTGACTCATATGATGCAAGATGACCCAATTGTTCTCGGTGCTCTGATTGAAATTCTCGGAGCTCTGAATCTGACGATGCTGGATTCACGCTGCCTTTCCGACCTGAGCAAAACATGGGCTTCCTTTTGGAGGGCACTCAGGGGTGGTGTTGTGAGGATCCTCTGCGCTGTTCATAGGCCTCGCCTTCACCTTTGAGTCATGCATCTCTTGCAACACCTGCCACTTTCTCGCACGCTCCTGGAAAAGGAAATGTGAAATAAATTGCCAAGAACAAAAATATGCTAATTTAGCAGTTTAGTAGTTTAGTAAAATTACAAGTTTATTTCAAGGGTAAGACAACACACATGTTCCCAATACCAGTACGAATAATTGCAGAACTGCTCATTCATGAAAGAAAAAAGGTCTCCTGCTCTCGTCGCCCTTCCTCTTCTTCATCCTCTCGGTGCTTTGCGGAGCACTCGTCAAAGAGCTGAGGGTCTGCCTGCTCATCCACGTGTGATGCACAAATGCTCTCGGTGTGTCCACCCGGGCTTACGCTATGAGCTTGGCCATCCTCACCCAAGGCGGCCTCCATCAACAGCTTCAGCACATTGAAGGTCAGTCCGTGCACCTGCAAGAAATGAGTGTAACGGGCGGTGCTCTTTTTCGGAGAAAATGTCACAAGGATTCACAAGAAGAATGATGTCGCTAATTCCACTCCATATTGTGTGCATCTTGCTTTGCACTTTCTTCTGCATTGCCAAACCGAGAGCCCTACTGCACTGTTCCAATGCTGCTTGGAGTTCTTGTACAGGGCGCCAATGATGATCGGAAAAAGCTCCTGATAGTCTTGTTGCTTTCAACATCAATGTTACCAGTGCCAGCGCTGCTTCTCTCCTGACGATTGGCATTGATCAGCTTCACGATATAATCCTGGGTGAGCGATGCTTGAACAATCAAATAACAAGTAGCAAGCCCAACAATCTCTGTAATATACAGTATATATATATATATACTGGGTGAACGAAAGGTAGCAGGCAATCACAAGTAACCCTGGTAGAAGTCCATGACGGCGTGAACAGGGTGGATTTGATCCAGGGGGGGGCCCGACGAACAGAATCATCTCTTACAGGACCAAACTCAATGCACAATCCCAACTCCTGATTGTAATCCGCCGGCCTGCCGGCGTGTTTTGTGGATTGTCTTGGTTAGTA